AAAGGGAATCCAACCGCTGTGCCGTGCTCGAACTCGATACCACTAGCCGCGTGGATAGAAGAATTGTAAGCCAACTCAATGTCCAGAAGTCGCTCGACCCAATCCTTTTGGTCTGGATGGATGAGTATGCGGTTTGATGCACTCTCTCTGTTTGGCCATGGTTTTGTGGGTGATACGTGGAACTCGGCTTGAGGGATGTCCCCACCCAACTCGTGAGTCTAGTGAAAAAATCAGACATAAACCAAGTGTTGCGGTCGCACACAATCTCCTTAGGAAAGCCCTTGGTACGTACTCAACCAACGAAAAATACCTCGGCCAACTTCAGTGCTTTAGCGTGATTCGACATGGAAGAAACATCATGAACTTAGATGGTCCACCACCGTGTGGCTGCCATCGAAACCAGACTTATGCTTAGAAAACGGTTCAGTGATGTCCATGACAATCAAAGTGCGTCGCTGAGATGGAACCAGTAACGGCCACAACTATCCAAAAAGGCGGTGATTGCGAGCTTGCAACATTGGTGAATCTGGCACGACTCGCAATAGTGGCTGAGGTCAGAGATTAGGTCAGGCCCAATATAAGTGTTGGCGAAGTCAACCTGTTGTATGGTTGACACCGAAATGGCCCACGGACGGAGCGTCGTAGAACTTGCCGAGTAGGTGTGTACGTAGGCGCCCGTGGTTTGACACACAAAGACGATCCTTGCCTCGTGCATGAAGAATTAAGAACCCATCTTATATCCGATAGTACGAAGGTGACGGGACAAATGTGCAGTAGCCCAGTTGGTCAGGCGCCTGTGTTCTACAGGACTCCGGCACAGTTGCATCCCCGACCGGGTATTCCACAGGGGGACGACTGTAAGGCTGTGTAGATGTTGTATGGGGGGTCTTGCCGGTTGAGCGTCCTGCTCGCTGTGCATACAACATACACAATTGGGGGGGGGAGGGTAGCTGAGGGACTGGGTTGAGACGCCCAGCACGACTTCCTGATAGGAGTGGGAGCGGCCCCGAAAGTAGCGAGAAAGGGGTGTGCCAAGGATTCTAGGAAAAAAAAAGGGGGTGGAGTCCCAGGTCGGAACTGGGATCTCCGGTGTCAGGGTTCTAAGGATGAGAATGCAAGATGCTCGGACGAAGGAGGGGCTTCCCCAATTCTCGGCGCAGCATGTCCGAGCCGGCACCTAGGACAGGTCTCGAGGAGTCACTTTTGTCGTTAGCTTCGGCACAAACTCGACAGTCGGTATAGGCGATTGCGATCGAGAACAGATGTTGAATTGTATGCTACAGGTCCGTGGTGTTGCTGCCGTGCTTATCCATGCAAACTGGTACTTACGGGCCAGACGGGGATGAGTTATGCGAGCGCGTGCATACATGACGGGCGGTGTTGTTGGCGAGTCATAGCGCATGTGCGGGCTTGCATAAGTTCCCTCTATCAGACAACCGAAAATGACAAACTTCATTATTCCCCATTGATTTTAGCGCATTGCGGCTAGACATGTATCCATGCTCTCCAATCATAGTTAGGAAGCGGACATACAAAACAGAAGCGATCGAGGCACAATCACCATATCCAGCATCATTCATAAAGGAAAGAGATGTGAAAGGTACTCTGAGGAAGGAAAATGATTTACACAATCAGGTATCCATCCGCAATTACAAAAAAAAGGAACGACGAAATCCGAAACAGAAAATTCCGAGAGTGCGAGGAGAGAAATTCCCACACACTCCGACACCCCACACTCTCTTACTACCTCGCCATCCCCCTCTTTGGTCCGATGAAGGCGATCCGCCACTTCACATCTCCCACTCACTCAGAGTTGTCACCCCGCTTAGTTCGAGCACGCACGCCGGGTCCGCCCGTGCTCCACAGTCAGTCGTGGCCGCATGTTACCCCACACACTCGCAACCAGCTCATCATATCGGCCAATTCCGAACCCACCTCTTTGCCTGCTCCTACTTGTTAGCCAATCCTCTTGACCGTGCTAACCTTTCCAAGTTTGATTAGAGAGAGATTTTTGTCGCGTTTGTGAAATTTATAGCTATTAGCATTTGCGCGAGATAGTCGGGATTACACTGAGGTCGGGGGACAAAGGAAAGAAGGAGGTGCCTGCGGTTGGCATGCCTGGGCCGCGATATGGGGGACTTAGCCACTCTCCGCGCATCGATCCAGTCATGCACCGCAGTGGCCAATGAGATGAAGGGAAAGAAGCCGCAAGTTTCGGCGCAAAGAGAAGCCAAGAGCAAGAGGATTACAGTTACACCCGCACTCGCCAAGGAAAGAACAAGGAGAGAATTACAGTTGAGATTAGAATTAAGGCGCGGGAGGAGTAGAGTGCAGGACAGAGCGCAGCAGAACGAGTGCGAGTAGGGAGCACCATGCAGTTACGAAAAAAAATACGACGTCCCCAAAATCCTGGCCTAATTAGAGTCCTAATGCCGATCGCCCCTGTGGCCTCCCGCATTCTTTCCATAGCGTTCAAAAATTCAAAAAGATTTTCCCGCGTGATGACCGCGCCAGAGTTCCCTGCCCAATTCCCAAAAGAAAAAGGAAAAAGCCGCGTCAACCGTTATTCCTGCGCTCGCTAAGGCGCGTCCTACACACCAACCGCCATGGGACCAAGTTTTCACAAAACAGAGAGGAAAGGAAGAAAAGGATGGGGGCACTTGTGCAATTTGATCAAGCCCCTCCACCCAACCCCCAAAGTGCAAGCGCGCAGAAAGTCGCGCTTATCAAAAGATAGATCGTCACAGGACCATACACAAGCTAAGCGCGTTTTGTACCATGCAGCTAGGATGATCATTGAGTCCACTGAACTTTTCAAACGACTTGTTCTCTTGTTTTCCTCACTTTCTTCCCTCAATCCCTTGCCTCTCCCAAACCCGTCCTCTTGGTGGCACAAGGAACCGGCAGCCCTTTCCTTGCCCTCTCTTTCCCTCAAGTTGGATCAAGTCAATTAGTCTGTTTGCTTCCCTGGCGAGGAGAAAGAAGAGTAAGTTCGTTACTACTATAGAAATGTAGGAATAGTAGGAAAAAGGGGGAGAGAGAGAGAGAGAGAGAGAGAGAGAGAGAGAGAGAGAGAGAGAGAGAGAGAGAGAGAGGCACCCATCGACTTTGGACACCCACCTAAGCTAACTCCTAGCCTAACCCTTCCTTAGGTACATTGGTCCAAGTCAGTTGTGATTATTACTAAGTGACGGGGGTTCAAGGTTCAGGGTTAGGGTTCAGGGTTTAGGGTTTAGGGTTCAGGGTTTAGGGTTCAGGGTTTTTGAGTGATGATGAAACGGACTAGGTACAACACTAGTACTAGGTAGGGAACCACAGACTTTCAACAAAGATCAGTCTTGGTAGATCAGCGAAGTAGCAGCAAAGTTCAGATCGTGAAATAGACTAGGTACAGACTGTACAACACTAGAACTAGGAAGGGAACAACAAAATTTCAACATAGATTAGTCAGGGTGGATCAGAAAAATAATAGCAAAGTTCAGATGTAGAAAGTTCAGATGTAGAAGCAGATGAGATACAGCACGAGAACTAGGTAGGAAACAACAAACTTTCAACATGGGTTAGTCAGGATAAATCATCGAAGTAAGAGCGAACTTCAGAATCTTCAGATGTAGAAATGGGCTAGGTACAACGTTAGAACTAGGTAGGAAACAACACACTTTCAACATGGGTTAGTCAAGGTGGATCAGCGAAGTAACAGCAAAGTTCAGATTTAGAAATAAACTAGGTACAGCACTAGAACTAGGTAGGAAATGACAAACTTTCAACAAAGTTTAGTCTGGGTAGATCAGCAGAGTAACACCCGAGTTCAGATGTAGAAATAGACTAAATACAACACTACAACTAGGTAGGAAACAACAAACTTTCAACATAGATTAGTCAGGGTGCATCAGTGAAGTAATTGCAAAGTTCAGATGTCGAAATAGACTAGGTATAGCACTAGATAGGATGCACCAAACTTTCATCATGGTTTAGGCTGGGTCGATTACCGAAGTAACATCAAAGTTTAGATGTCGAAATAGACTAGGTACAGCACTAGAACTCGGTAGGAAACAACAAACTTTCAACAAAGGTTAGTTAGGGTAAAGCAACAAAGCAACAACAAAGTTCAGATGTAGAATAGACCAGGTACAACATTAGAATTAGGTAGGAAACTACAAACTTTCAACATGGGTTAGTCTGGGTAGATCAGCGAAGTAACAGCAAAGTTCAGAGGTAGAAATAAACAAGGTACAACATTAGAACTAGGTAGGAAACAGCAAACTCTCAACATAGGTGAGTCAGGGTGGATCGGCGAAGTACAACAAAGTGATAGGCTAGTCTGGAGTAGACTTTAATACTAGAATACAAGTAGAAGCAATACTAGAAGTAGAATGTAGTTAGGGGAGGGATCAGTGGAACTATCAACGAAGCTACCACCATGGAACTAGCAGCAAAGCAAGATATGAAAGCACCAAGTCTAACAGCTACCAGCAGAATTGAGAAGCACCAAGTCTAACAGCTACTTGCAGAATTGAAAAGCACCAAGTCTAACAGCTAGTTGCAGAAAAAGCACCAAGTCTAGCACCTACTCGAAGAATTGAAAGCATTGAAGTCTAACAACTACTTGAAGAAAAAGCACCAAGTCTAACAGTTACTCGCAGAATCGAAAGCATCAAAGTATAAACTTCACAATGAAGATCTATTTGATCAATAAATGAACTTGCGAGAAGAAGAGGAGGAGGAGGAGGAGGAGAAGGCGAAGGGGTTGAGGGAGGAGTGAAAGGGGAGACAAGGAGGAAGGAGAAGAAGGGGAGGAAGAAGGAAACGGAGAAGAAGAAGAAGAAGAAGAAGAAGAAGAAGAAGAAGAAGAAGAAGAGGAAGAAGAAGAAGAAGAAGAAGAAGAAGAAGAAGAAGAAGAAGAAGGAGGAGGAGGAGGAGGAGGAGGAGGAGGGGGAGGAGGAGGAGAGGGAGAAACAAAAAGAAGAAAAAGAAGAAGAAGAAGCGTGAAGAAGATGCAGATGAGGAAGAAGAGAAGACGGAGAAAAGGGAGGAGAGGAAGAAGAAAGGGAAAGAAGAAGAAGAGGGAGAAGGAGGGGATGAAGGAGGAGAAGAAGACGAAGAAGAGGATGACGAAGAGGAAGAAGAAGAAGAGGAAGAAGAAGAAGAGGAAGGGGAGGAAGAAGAAGAAGGAGAAGAGAAAGAGGAGGAAGAAGAAGAAGGAGAAGAGAAAGAGGAGGAAGAAGAAGAAGGAGAAGAAGAGAAAGAGGAGGAAGAAGAAGAAGAGGAAGGAGAAGGAGAAGAAGAGAAAGAAGAGGAAGAAGAAGAAGAAGAAGAAGAAGAAGAAGAAGAAGAAGAAGAAGAAGAAGAAGAAGAAAAGAAGAAGAAGAAGAAGAAGACTAAGAAGAAGAAGAAGAAGGAAGAAGAAGAAGAAGAAGAAGAAGAAGAAGATGAAGAAGAGGAAGAAGTGGAAGAAGAAGGAGAGGAAGAAGAAGGGGAAGAAGAAGATAAGGAAGATTCCTTCTTCCCCTCTTGCACTAACCTTGTTAGTGTATACTTTTCTCGGTGCAGTCTTCCCAAAATGGTCAAAGACAATCAGAGTCTCTCCTTGGTCTCAACAGGGCCTCCTGGCCTAGGCTATGGTTACCTACCAAGATCTGGTCCACTCTAGTGGCTCCGTCATCAGGTAAATCTCCTCCTTTCTCTCCCTCCTCCCTTCTCTGATGCCCTCCCCCATGCTTACTACTCCTTTCAGCCCCTCTCTAGTTTGAACAACCCAAGTTCAGACCGTGGGCTTGGGAAGCTATGGTGGACTTCTCCTCTAAGCCTAGCAATGCAGCCCACCCCTTCAAGAGGGCTATGGCACTCCTACTGGCCTCCCCACCTCCTTCCAAAGCTTGAAGGATGCAGCGCGGCTCCCCTCTAGGCCAGTGACACTTTCCCTTTGCCAACCACTCTCTCTTAGCTAGACTCTGTCTGTCGCATGCCTAATCGGCATCAATCAGAACCAAGAACTGACCTCTCAGAGACAATACAAAAATAGCACAGCGGAAGACTGAAATACCAAGGTCTGACTCGGCATGGACAATGACAGATTCTGACTACCACCACCATCATACGGTGGGAGTGGACTCGGCGCAGCAAACATAGAAGGTGCGCTGAGTCCAATGCAAGCACGGACGAAGATGGGGGACAATAGACAAAGGGAGGTTAGATAGGGAGGATCAGCCACCATAGCCCGATGACCCCAGTCTCCAAGGTATCCCCAATGTCGCTGCTCATACAATGTCAAGTTGTAGTGTCACTGAATCCGGCGATGCCCGAAAGTCACCAAGTCTCATTGTCATCTCTCTCTCTCTCTCTCTCTCTCTCTCTCTCTCTCTCTCTCTCTCTCTCTCTCTCTCTCTCTCTCTCTCTCTCTCTCTCTNCTCTCTCTCTCTCTCTCTCTCTCTCTCTCTCTCTCTCTGTGTGTGTGTGTGTGTGTGTGTGTGTGTGTGTGTGTGTGTGTGTGTGTGTGTGATGTATCCGGGTACTGACCTGTGGAAATGTGGCGCCGTGATGCAGGTATGGACGTGCTGAAGACGGAGCTGGAGCAATGGCACCACAGGTAAGTCATCAGGTAAGTCCCCTGGCCTCCGCCTGCCTCAACTCCCTGGTCCCCGCTGCAGCGTGCTGGAGCCCAAGCTCAACTACTCTAGCACGGCGCCCAGCGCTGGAAGACCACTCTCTCCTCCTATACACCGCGCCCAGCATGTCGACTACTGAAGACTACGGAGGCACTGCCTCAGTGTTACCTCGAAAACTACCTCTGCATACTACCTGCTGGAGTGGAGGAGGGTCAGCTATATATAGTGCTGGACTGTTCGAAGTCCAGCCTCAAACTACCTGGATAGTGCTGCGTCGCTGGGCCAGGATGTGCACTGGCGCCAAAACGAAAACGAAACGAAAACTGGGTCCCAACAGGAGACTGGCGCCTAAACGGAACCTGGATAGTGGCACCTAAACGAAACCTGGATAGTGGTGCCTAAACGAAACCTGGATAGTGGTGCTGGTCCGAAACTGGCCTAACTGGGCCTACTAGCGAAACAGGCCTATCCGGCCTCTGACTCCTACGGGTCCTAAAATGGGCCGAAATGACACTGGTCCTAAACGGATCCTAGAACCCCTACCAAACCCCCAACCCTACTGGTGGGCCCGATGGGGCCCGTGTGGGAGCCGTGGAATGCCACACTCTTTCTTCCTCCTCCTAGGCGCAGGGCATCACCCTCCCTTACTTCGGCATGGCCTGCAGCAGTACCGACCACCTTTTGGCCAACATCTGTGCTAAGAGGCAAATGTGAGTTGAGTGGCCAGCCTCCCTCACCTTTATAGGCTGCTCAGTGCTCACTGCTCTTGGAGGAGCTTCTGGATCTCCTAAACCAGTTCTGGGAGGTCTGAGGTGCACCTGAAGGCCTCCTTTGGGTCCTAGGCCTGTCAGGATGTATCTGGCCTTTGACAGGGCCAGGTTCATGCAGTCCGAGGTGTATGACTTACCTCGCATTGCCTTGGGCTGTCCTATGTGCTTACTTTTAAGAACAGATCCTGTCTCTTTGATCTGAATAATCAAGGGACATACTTGATCAAGTTTGGAGGCCTCTTTTGCCCTCCACTTGAGTTTTCTAAGGTCCCACTCAAATTTGAGTGGTCCGAGGTAGGATCTGTAACTCGGATTATCCCTGGCCATAGATCTGGCCATTTTTGTGGCTAGATCTTCCCCGATTCACATTCAGGTGGGCCTAGGGGCTCTAACTTTCACCCCCAAGTGTACCTAGCTTCAGTTTGAGCCAGTTCTGTTTTGTCTCTTATTTTGTTCCTTAAACTTCCTTTCCATTTTGGGATGCCAATTTCAGACTTGTCGGTTATGAGTTGGCACCAGCAAAATGTCGTTTTTGTTTTGGCCATTGATCTGTTCTCAAGGTCAATGTCGAAAACAAAAACCGGCCATCAAGTTTATCCCTTTTCATTTTTTTTTGTTTTGTCTTAGACTTTCAGTATCTACTCCAATTTTAGACTAGATACAAGCTTGGAATTGACAAAGGTTTGCCTTTTAGCTTCTTCCAAGGCATTTAGACTTTATTCTTGGCTACATATGTGCAGGATACCTAACTGTTATGCAATATATGGCCCTACTCCGATTTTTCTCCCACAAAATCCCAAGTTGGGATAGGGCTGTCCGATTGTCCCAACTTCCTGACTCCCACATGTAGGGACTTACCAGTCTCAACCTGGCAGTCCCTGGGTGGTGGACAGTGCAAGATTATCACGGTATCACCCCATCCGTTTGAATTGTGAGGAACTCAGGGGGCCCTAGACAACATGTATATGTTCTAGACTGTGCCCCCCTAGCAAGCTTCGTGCCCGCCCTAAGTGAAGGCGGGACTGAATATCCACGAGAGGCCCTTATCTCAGCACTTTCCAATGTGGGTCTCAGACAGTTGCTGCATGCGAGTTGGTTGAAGTGCAACCTGGGCCTCACCCTGGGCTCTTCCAGAAGAAGCAGTTGCGTCAGGCAGTTGAGCCCAGGACGCAGGTGGTTGCACCCTGGGCACACGCAGCGTGATGCCGACACATCACGAAGTGGCCACGGGCCAATGCAAACACAGCAAATATTTGGGGCTTGGAAAATCTTCGGGGTACCCGACTGAAAAGGGCCCAGGCCCTCAACTGTAGATATGGGCCTGGGTGCAGACACTGGTGCCTGACCGGAAGCTACTGGAAACTTCCATGGCCAGGCCCAGACAGTCCAGCAGCAACAATGTCTCCATATAGGGAGGAGGCCAGCCAGGCCAAGGCATTCTCGCCTAGGAAGGCAATGGGGACACGCTGCTGCGATTCAGCGCAAGTGTCTGAATTGCGCTAGTGCTGGCAGGGGCGCTCGCGGGCGCTGAGCGGTGAGGGGTGCTGCAGGGCAGCGGCGCACTAGCGGCCATAGCCAGGCTGCAGGGCGCGAGGGCAGGTGAAGGCGACGGTGGTCTTCAGGAGGTGGCGCAAGTGTGGGTGGACAGGGGATGATGAGTGGAGTTGAGAGTACGCTCCTGGTGTATGTGGGAGGTCGGCATTGGTGTTGACGTCATGTACATTGGTCTTCAAAGTCGAAGTGAGCCTATTGCATGAATGTAGATACGCTAGGTAGGGCGAGTAGCTCTGGGCGCCAGACAAGAGGAGCAACATTGAATACTGCATTGGTGTGGCCTGAGGGCTTGAACATTGGCTCACAAGGTCAATGTATTGCTCTTATTTGGATGGAATCTTAGTGCCTTTGAGCTCTGTGCTTGTTACATGACTATCTGGACTTCTGCATGATTTTGCAACTTGATTTTCTGTATATCGCTCTCGCTCACATTCCTTGCAGAATACACAGAGCCCTGATATGAATGTATCCAGACAGAATGATAGCTGGTATACATTCATTGTAATCTTCTCGTTATGATTATGATTATGATTATGATTATGATTGTTACGATCCTGGCCAATTTCGAAGTGCAAATTCATGACGAAGTACAATGCCGTCTGATTGCAAAAGAAATGAATGAACTTGAGAGGCGAGAGAGGGAAAGAAGAAAAAGATGAAGAAGGAAAGAAGAAGAAGAAGAAAGAAAGAAGAAGAAGAAGAAAGAAAGAAGAAGAAGAAGAAAGAAAAAAGAAGAAGAAGATGTACACCAGCAAAAGACCAATGATTAATTACCCCTTCTTCTCGCCAACTAACTCCTCCTCCTTGTCTCTCTCTTGTCCAAACAATAAATGATAATAATAATGATGAATGGCTGAACCAGAATCAATGTCCGAGTCCCTCTTCTACTGCCAGCATGCCATCACAACTTGAGGTCCACCATAGGCATGGCCGCCCTCCTCTCTCTTCTTCATCCAGGCCGAGGCTATGGCGGACTACTAAGGGCCTTGCCCTGACGTGCAGAAGACAACTCAAAGCAGATATGACCTCTTCCTCTCAGGCCGCCATGCCTGACTGTGCCTCAAAGCTTCTTGATGCAGCTCTACCCCAACAGGGGCCTTCCAGATGCAGCGCCCACCAAGGCGGTGAAGATGGCATCCACCATAGCCAGGTAAGTACCCCTGGCTCTCCCCTCTCCTAGTCCCCTTCTTCCTCCTCCTACCCGAGCTCCTCCACCATAGCCAAGGTGGAGAGCTGGGTGCTCCTCTTCCCCACAGCGCTGCTTTACACCAGCGCTGCTTCTAACCAGCGCTCCAGCAGCCTGACGCTAAACTTGCATGCAGCAAAATGAGGAAGAGCTCTTTGCTCCTCCTGGAGATATAGCGGCCAACCTGCCTCTTGGGCGGTTGCCTGGAGGCCGCATGGCCTCCAAGCAACCGGTACCTCCTCCCTTTCAGAGGGAAACATCATTGCAGACTCTCATATCGTCCGTACAAGCCCTAGACTTAGGCTACTTGGACTGGTACCCGCCTAGACCTAGCCTACCAGTACTGGGCCTCTAAAAATACTAAATTTTTTTCTTCTTCTGCTCGGCCTCTGGTTCTCGACACATCGACCGCTACTTGAGTGGCACCGGCCTACCTGCTACTCAAGTACCTACAGCCCTCGCTACCGCTACTCGAATGTGCCCTAAGCTACCCCCGTCAGCCACCGGAGTGTTTTTCCCGCTGCAACCCCAAAGTCACGGCCACAGGTAAGTACCGGCCCTATGGGCCTCCAAAACAAACAAGTGCCCCGGCAGGCCACACCAGCTCTATGGGCCTCCCAAACAAACAAGTGCCCTGGCGGGCCGCACTCACGCTCAGGCCGACAAACACTCAGACACACACACAGACTAGCAAGCACGCACACACACCGACTTAGGAAACTCGGCAAGAAGTGGAAATCTCAGCAAGGCATTCATTCCATCGGCAAAACTCAGAAATCAGCTGTGTTCTCAACTTCTCAGTCCGTGTTTTGGCAGGTCCTTACATTATTATTCTTATTCTCATTCTTATTCTTGTTCTTAGGCTGACACCTTACCATGTGTGAGGAAAATGAGCAATGCGAATGGCAGAAATCCAGATTGCAACATTCCAATGCAATCCAGATAACTTCGAGCAGAAACTGAAAGCAGAATGCACCGAGAAATCACACCAAGTAAGATTTGACCAACATTGAAGTCACATGATAAAGAAAGCCCCCATCTCGCCTCCATTCACCAAGGTTCATCAACGTTCTCACCCTATATGGCACTGAATGCCCAGACTACTGACAACCTTGTCCTAGACTGGACTCCTAATCGCTATACAGGTCTGCATTGAAGGCCGTCCACCCGATGTCGCATGAAGACTCTTAAGCTAACAGCCTGCCTGAGCGACTAGGTATGTGCCTCGTTACACAGCTCATTCCCCATCTTCCACCCGCATGCCTTCCCCTCCACCCAAGTACCTCCGTTGTCACCCACTTGGTGCCCGAGTGGTCAGCCCGGCCATGGCTGCCGCTCGCTCAGTCAAGCTCCCAACCAGCACCCCTCTTCTTCCCCTGGCCGGCTCTTCTCCCAACACGCATTCCAACAACACTGCTGCAGCCTCCAGCCACAAGTATGTCGAGTGAGCAAGGCTCAGTTGTTTGTGTGC